ATTTTTTTTCCCCCCCAAGTTCATTCTGATATGTTTGACCACACGCCAGTTCATCACCCCCCCCGATTGTGTTTGTGACTGTATTAATATTTTGAATTAAGTTGCCAGCAGGGTGTCTGCTCAGGTTTACATAAAGCCACGCTTTTTGCTTTGCATAGGGTTGAGCCTATTTAAATATGTGAAGATTTGCAGTGAAATTCCAATTTTCAGAGAAGCATCGGAGAGACTCGCGCTCACTCATCACGCATCTCATCATCTTTGCTGCAATATGGCCCGCAGTGGAAACATTATGTGCTTGGTCAGACTGCTGGAAGTAAATTTAGCTTTAAGCTTTCCTTTATTGTTTAAAATATGTACCGGAGCAGAGAAATGTGCAGAGCCAATGAGCCAGCGCATTGAATATAAATAAGGCAGAAGTAACATGTTCGCCTCTAGCCCTATGCAGGACGGGCAGCACCACATTTTCTACGCCTTATTTGCAGAGTGTAATTATTTTCCCAGCCACAGCTTTCTTCACAACTTGCTGAAAACAATGTTAAACTATTTTAACCCCATTGGTTACATTCTTTTCCACATTGATAAAATTGCAGTCCTTTTTTTTCACGTTTAAAGCTGAACTCTGGTATAAACAAATATTGTTTCAGTACAAGAGACATGAGTATAATTACTTGAATCTTGGCGCAGTTTGTATATTTTGTCCAGATGTTTGCAGTAATCCAGTGTGAAACTCTGACACAGGATTGTGCAGGAACTTAATGTAATAAAGACTGGTCACTGCTGCTATTTCTCCTTGTGCAGGGTAACTGGTCTTGTACTCATCTAAATGGGATAAATGGTCACCAGCACTCCAAAAGTAGGCCTGCTGCATTCTCCCCACAGGATCAAAAAAGATGGGCACCAAACCAATCAAGTCCATAAAAGCTTTAATGTTTACAATTTAATCAAATGGATAAAACAGCCAACTCATTTTAAGGTCAAAGGTATCCCCTTCCTCAGGGCTTGGAAGAATTAAATGAAATAGAAAATTGAGGTCCCAAAACAGTGATTCCCAGAGAGATCTGTGTTGTGCAAAGCCAACTCTACTGCAGTGTAAATGGTGAAGAGGGGCTATAAATAATATATTTAAATGACTTTTTTTGTGAAAACATTAACATGTTAAAGCTTATATAAGATTTAAATGATTATTATGGTTATAGGTTTTTTTTTTTTTTGATTGATGGGTATTGTTAGGCCATCCTTTTGCTGAAATGTTGCATCTGCCATTAAATAACTGCACTGGGAGCAGTACCGGGTCTGTCTTTGCTGTCCACCTGAAAATGCTAGTCATTTTACATTTATTCTGCTGCCCAATGCCTGGTATCGGTGCATCCCTAACTTTAACCCTTTGCTAGGACAGGCAGTGTTCAAATCTACTTTACAAACCATAATGAAATGAGCCAGCACATTACAGACAGGGTTACCAAACCCCTGAAAATTGTTCCTAAAAAGAAGAAACAAGTAGAAATTGCAACCCTTCAGAAGCCAAGTAGAAACCCTGACCCAAGTAAAATCAGGGGTAGTCAGTGCCTCGGGTGGGTGGGTTAATTACATTTCCCGTGCGTGCATCCGGGCTTACACAAGCGTCTATAGTGAGAACAGACTAATTCTGTCTTTGACAATCTGCTGGTGTTTATTGAATAAATGTAAAATGACTTTTGACATATTTAAAGGAGAACTATGGGGTCAGGGCTTTTCCCCATAGTTCTCCCAAGGGTAACGGGAGGACACAAACTAGCATCCTCCCGTCACCCAAAGCTCAGTATACCGCAGCTGGGATGGATCCCAACATTTCTGTCTGGGGCAGCTGTTCCTGCCCCGTCCGTTCCGCCAGTCAGCACTGGAGTATCGATCAGGGAAGGGGGGAATCCCTGCAGGGAGCCGTGAGTGACAGGCACGTCTCTCTGCAGGGGCAGGATCGAGAAGTGAGCGAGCGACTGTATGTATTGGCTCACTTCCCGATCTATTGAGCCGACGTGACAGTTTCATTGTGACAGGTTGTCTAGAACTATGAGGCTGAGTGATTTTCACTTGTCTCATAGTTCTCCTTTAATAATGCTGCCTGTTGAGTGTCATAGATCAGTGCTCATTGCAGTGTCAGGTAAGACCTGCAGGTGGTGCTGCAAGCGGAAGCTCAAATTGTTTTTCCCCGTTGCTGTCGAAATGTGGGTGGTGAACATTCTGTCAGCAGTGCTGCCAATTTACTTGGGGAAAACCCCTGAAGAGCTGGCGATGAAGCTTGAAAACTGTGGGAAATGACATTTATTTGGGAACAAAGGCATGGCAAACAAGCAAGAGAGGAAGAAATCTGCTTGTTCAGGTTGCACTCCACCCCCATCGCATCCCCATTGAACAGCGGTCAAAACATTTTGCCTGTGTGATAATTAAGAAACAACACAACACAAATCCCCTTTACTTATCCCACACACCAAAATGTTTATTTTTGCCTTCCTAATGAGGCTTAATGAGCCTAATGTTTTAACACGCAGTCTGTTGGAAAGCTTTCATTGGCTCGGCTTGTCTAATTAGTATCGACACAGCAAACAGACCCTATCGGTATCAGGCCATTAGTCTGGCTGTATATACACTGTAAACACATCTTTATTATCTGGCCTCCTGACAAGCCATCTGCTGTAGAAACAATGGCGTGATTTAGCAGATGTTGGCGTTGAACGATAAAAGCATCCATTTACTGGGATGGCGCAGCTATAGGGCAGACAGTACAGGGTTACGTGGTGCAGAGTGGGCACGCGGTCTCCTATCTGTAATTTGTAGTCACAGTTGCATGGAAATGATAAAACCATGCTATTGTGGATTTATAATTGTAGTCTCGTTTAGAAATGCAAGTAGTAATTAACTTGAAATCGGCATTATACACCAGAATTTACATTCCTGCTGGGCCTGAAATGCTGTTTTAATAACAGTTTGTTTTCACTCCATGAAATTACCTAAGGGCCCTTTTGTGTTGCTTCATTTCAGATGCTATTAACGTTCTAACGGAGATGCATGAGAGGCATGTGGCTGTCAGCAAATTCTTCGATAAATCGTTCTTTCATATCCTCAACCAGTTGGCCATAAAAGATGACGTTGACGCTGTCAACCGGTTACACGAGCATATTGTGACGCTCAACTTGGCTAAACCAACAGCCAACCTTTGTACCCCGTTGGTGAAGGTACACTTAAATCGGTAAGTAAAGTGTCAGCAGTACATCATTGCATTGGGATACATTTTGATCATGTTGACCATATTTCAAAGAACACCCGGCGAATGTTTTACATGTTGAAGATAAATGTGAAAAGTAAATGCGTACCTTGTGCTGAGCCATTTCTTTTAGATACGTGCTTATAGAAACCCCGTCACCCCTGCATTGCAAGTACAGCATGACCAAGTATACTTTAATATTTGTCATAGGTATTTATATAGCGCCTTCAGTTTATGCAATGCTTTACATACTGCCTACCCTTAAAGAGCTTACAGTTTAAGGTCCCTATCTCACAGACTGTGAAAATGAAGTTCTCTTTTCTATTCTCTCTCTTCTTTTCTCTCTTTTCTTCTCTTTTCTCGTCTCCTCTCTGTTTTCTTCTCTGCTTTTATTATTTCTCTTCTCTCCTCTTCCCTTTCCTCCTTTTTTTTCTCCACTTTCCTGTTTACTCTTCTCTGTTCATTTTCTTTTTCTCTTCTCTTTCCTCTTCTTTCCTTCCTGTGCAGTGGCTTTACCAGCATCTGCCTGCTTTATGTACATCTTGGCTGTAGATTACCATATCTCGGATCCTTCATCTTCACTGTGTGGCCACCATCTCTACTACTTCTGTGTGGCGTCCATTCACATGGATTGCACTCATTATCCTCTATCATATCCTCATGCATGCATATGGCAGTAGGTTTGAGGGATCAATTTGGAGGGTAAAAAAGTCTGCTGGGCAATGCTAACATTCTTCAAAAAAAGTGGAGCTGCAACAACGATTCGATTTAGTCGATTAAAATCGACAATCGAAAACGTTACCAACGTTTTCGATCGTCGATTATTCGGCTATCTATTACCTTGCCTGTTCGCGGCTCCACACTCAAGCCCCACATGCAGTGCACGCCACGCCCACCGAACGCGCACGCCGCGGCGGCCCAGCTCCCGGTTCTCCTCCAATCCCGGCGCTCCTCACATCTAGCCGGGCCGATCACATGGCGGGTGCCGGGGATGTGAGTGCGACGGGTGTCAGCCGGGGGACGGAGACTATGGCTGGGGACGAGCCGGCATCCAGGCTAAACCTTTCGGCAGAAGACGTGGAGGGAATGCTCAGACAGTAACAACCCCAAGTGCCCCTCCATCTCTGCACTCCATTCCACCATCATACCCGTCCTCTGCACCCCATTCCACCATCATACCCGTCATCTCCATCCCTGCACCCCATTCCATTATCATACCTGTCCTCTCCATCCCTACACTCCATTCCACCATCATACCCATCCTTTCCACCCCTGCACTCCATTCCACCATCATACCCGTCCTCTGCACCCCATTCCACCATCATACCCGTCCTCTGCACCCCATTCCACCATCATACCCGTCCTCTGCACCCCATCCCACCATCATACTCGTCCTCTCCATTCCATCATACCCGTCCTCTGCACTCCATTCCATCATTATACCCGTCCTCTCCATCCCTGCACTCCATTCCACCATCATACCCGTCCTCTGCCCCCCATTCCACTATCATACCCGTCCTCTCCATTCCATCATCATACCCGTCCTCTGCACCCCATTCCACTATCATACCCGTCCTCTGTACCCCATTCCACTTGATCCCAGCAATAATACATTATAGTATAATTACTATTGCTGCGGTTTGCTGTATTCCTTTATAGCTGCTGGTATTCTGCATTGCGCCGCTGTATAATGTATTATATTACACACCACACTTTTTTTTACTTCCACCACTCCAAGCTCGTTCCTGTGATGGACTACAATCTCAATACAAACTAGTAGTCCATCACTGGAGCCTTTTTTTTTTTTAAAATCCGATTTAATCGAATTTAAAAATCGGCTAATCGATTATGAAAATAATCGTTAGCTGCAGCCCTATATTTAACTGTAATATGTTTACCACATTATTTGCTAGTATTTACGGTGTGGAAATAAAAGCAGAAAAGGTAGCATTAAATAGGAACTGAACTCTGGAAGCTGTGCTTCAAATAAAGGCAGGCAGAGGACTAATCATGCTTTGTACTGCACTGTGTCTCTGTTTTGTAAAGGTGGCCAGCTGGGTAGAGGCTGGTCTTTGCTTCCATGTTGTAGAGTCTCAGCAAAAAAACAGTTGGCGGCAAAGCAGTAATATCACCAAATCCCATGATTAGACTGGCATTCAGAGGCAGCAGTGCTTTAGATCTCATGCTGCAGATATATAGCTATGAGGCTGTATGTACAGGCATGTCTAGGAACACTTGCATACCAGGATTTCCCTTGATTTTTCCTGAATTAATTGCAGACAAAAGGGAGAAATTTATACTTGAACGCAATGTCTAGATCTTCCTGTAACAGCACATCTTCACTTTTTGATCTCAGACTCACTTTATATCTGTATTTTAAAGCTGAATTCCGGGGAAGCAAATATTGTCTAAATACAAGAGGCATGTGTATCTTTACTTGTCACTTCTGCTGTTACTCCTTGCTTGGGTGACTGGTCTTGTGCTCCTCTAGTTTTTCACAGGCAGCCTTCAAATGTGTGGGCTGGTCATCTTTAACAGTCCTGCTCTCTGCACAGTTTATGTGCTGCACAGGGATTATATCACTGCTACTGTTGCAAAAGCATTTAGTGCATCCACAGTGGATTTATATCCGTTGTGGTTACTGAGGAATATTTCAATTAAAAGATTATGTATCTGGAGTTCAGCTTTGTTTCAGGTCACTCTTATAGAACAAACTTGTACTGGTATAAATAGATCAAACAAGATCACATAACCACCAGGGTATTAGCAAATGCAGTCACTTGGTGTGGCATTTATTTAAAAAAAAAAAATTGGTAAAATTTGGCCTTTAACCTCTTGCTGTCCGCCCATCGTAAAATTACAGGCAGACGGCGGGTCCTTCCGGTGGGAGGACGTATATGTACGTGATTTTTTTTCTGCTCCTGCGCGCCCCCTAGCAGAATCTTGGCGGGAATGTGTACAGCCGTTTATCAGCTATTTCATACAAGTGTTCGGCCTGCTCTCTAGCCGGCCGATGCCTTGTATATCCCTGTTGTGTGCAGCGCCCCCTTCTTTGCCGGTTATCCCGGGCACCGCTGTCACGAAACGCATCAAACATGCAAGACGCTCTTGCTGTGTCATTACCATTACTAGCACAAACGCGGCCAGAAAGACACTTGCATGTGTTTAAAACTTTCACAAACGCAGAGGAAAAACATGTTGCGTGCCTTTTTGGCCGTGAAAAAGAAATCACAAAATGCATGTCACAGCTTTGCACCATCCATTGTAAGTGATATCAAAAGCATTTGAAACGGCTTAAAAACCTTTTGACTTTGAATACACTGATCTTTAATCCTAAAGTTCTTTCTCACAGTTACGTCGTTATCAGTTAGACGTTTTCATTTCTTGTGAAATTGCTCAGCACCTCAGATCTAACCCTCACCTTCAGTATGCATCAATATGTTTCAAGCAAGCTTCAGTTGATCAGACAGTGTCATGATCGTCGCCTTGAAAATTGGGGCTTCTTTCCTTGGCGTCATCTCCAGTTTAAATTGTGAGAAATGCACACCATTTTCGTATGTTAGCATATTTTCCAGCTGTCATTTGACTTTTTTTTTTTCTGAACAAGTAAATAAGTAAAGATCGCCTTTTGGTTTGGTTCTCTTACACAATTATCGCAATTAGAAATTTAGCTCTAGAAGCAGAGGAATAAAGCAGGAGCTTGCCCCAACGGGACAAGGCAGCGATAAGATGGCTCCTCGTCAAGGATCGCTGGGTCGTAATTAAGTTACATTCACGACTATTGGTTTCTGAAGGATGATTGGTAAATGACTGGCTTGATGTGCTTTGTACGGACACCGTTCGATAGGGCTTCCTATTTTCTTCTCTTTCTTTTATCCCCTCTCCCTTTCTGTCAGAAAATCCTGTAGTGTCTGATAATGTAAATGTGGCATTTTTATTCTGAACAAAAGAGCAAGGAAATGAGCTATCCTGTCTAATCACTCAGTTGTTTAACACAGACTTCCAGTGTAGACTTAATTGGCTGGAAAGCACTTGACATGTGAAGTTAGCACTGTTCGAAATGCATGTTTGAGTAAATTTTAAAATAAGTGACAGCTAAATTGTACCTAGGGAAATTACAAAGCCTTCAACACAGTTAATTTTTTTTTTTTCCTCCTCCTTTTGGCGATGATTAGTTGTAATTGCAACACCAGTCTCCTTGAAAACTCCCCTTTTAACTACAGTGTAGGCATTTCAAAACACCCAGCCCTTTTGCTTGTTATATTGTCCAGACAGCGGAGGTCGGGTAAAATTTGCATATTTAAGAGTAGGGATGTCCAGATACCAGTGCCGATACTTGGCATTTTCACAAGAACTGCCAGGGTGGCAGGGCGGCTGCAGCTAGGACCTATCTCTGGCGCTCCACCACTGTCCTGAAATCATTAGTCTGTATTGTTTCAGAAAAACTGTCACATGACAATAAACAAAAATGTATCAGTACTTGTATCTGTGAGTACTTGGACAAGTATCAGTACTTAAAAAAATGATCTGTGCATCCCTTTATATATGTTCATTAAAAAAACATACATTAAAACAGAGATGTACAAATCCCAGGAGCTCCGTATGCTCCTTTAAAAATGACAGCTGCCTCCTAACTTTTGAATTTTTCTCTAGTCTAGTCTTAGAGCTGGAAAAGTATCTCTACTTCTACCGAGTACGGTACTCGGTATCTAAACATCCCTACTTAAAAGTTTAGCTTAGTTATTAGTAGCCATGGAAAACAATTTTTATAGCAAATCTTTGGGGTCTTGATGGGTCATAAACTGGTTCCTGGACTGTATAGCAGGTGCCTTGCCCCAGGAGCCCTACATCAATTACCACCAGAGCTTGCACAAGCATTTTAAGGCCCTGTTTATGCTGTCACACTGCAGTAGTGCAGTGTGACATGTAGTGTTAACGTGCACACTCATTTTCAATGTCACCCCAGAGTACCTTCCCAACACAAG